TCTCAACTTCAACGCCACTCCCCTCCCTCCTTTTTTGCAGACAATCCATTCTTCCCTATCGGCCTAACTTTGATAAAGATACTGTATAATTATGTAGACTTCATGTAAAAAAAATGTTTTATGTCAATAATCATGAATATCATGATATCGTCTTCTTCTCAAGATAAGCGGGGGAAAGGATTTGAAAAAAAACTGATCAGAAGCCATTGTATGCTTTAATGTAATTGTTCGATTACTACATTATCTGAACGTTTTTGAAGGATCTACCACCGCTACCCCCCCCCCCCTCCTATTTTCCGAAAAAAAAGTTTTACCCTATTTCTTTTGATAGCATTTTTCCTTTCACAAAATGTATTCTTTATGTAGACTCCATGAAAAGAAAAACAAAGTTTTATGTCGTGAATTTAATGAAATCGCCTTAAATATATATCTTCTCGAAATAAAGACATGATTGGGATTGGAAGTCACTTTTCTTCAATTTGATTTGTCTATTGCTAGATTTTGTGTTATACAATATAAACATTTGCGTCGATTCCCCCCCCCCCCTTTCCAATCAGATTCATCACTTCAGCAGCGGCATCGTCGTCCATCTCGGGCAGCTCGGGAAGGACAAATCTCTTGCCAGATACCGTCACCCTCCCGCCAGTCCTCGACTCGTCTGGTCGACTTCGTGTTCATCGAAGACGGGACGACTCCATGCGCCTAGTGAGACAGGCAGTCAACAGCGACCACAACGAGTGGATGGACAGCAATGACAATCAGCACAGTGCCAACAGGAAAGTCAAGAGTATCTTGGGTTTCGCCGAGGTTTGAATAGTCAAGGGGAAACTAGAAGCAAATGCGGGCTCCCCCCCCCCCCCAAAAAAAAAAAAAGAAAAAAAGAAGAAGACTATATACCGTAGTCGCAGACAGGTTTTACCAACGTGTGTGTGTTTGGGTTTTTACAGTCGTGTATCAATCAGATATGATTATTTACGTCTGTGGACCGACCTTTAACGTCACCATCCGAAAGATGTGGCTCAGTTTCGAACCTGCGTCCTCGGCAGAATCAGTTTGTAACTTCCATTGCTAGCTGGATTATATTACAGGCGCACGCCACAACGCATCACTGCACCGCGCTGTAATGTAATTTCGATTGCGCCATCTTTCGGCGAAGGCGTTCATCGAGCGATTTCTTGTTCCTGTACCCAATTACAGGACCGTCGCTGTTTTCACGAAGTGACGGTAGTGAAAAAAAAATTGCATTCACTTTGCGTTACGATTTTCCTCACTACCGTCACTTCGTGAAAACAAGTTATACAGTGCGACCCAGACAAAATGGAACCGAGAATTATCGATGTTTTATCATAACTTAGTCACATTTGTTATAAATAAAATAATGACACAATGTTTGGAAGGCTGCGATCCTCCTCTTTCATTTGATGCAACTCATTATGATGCATATTTCACGCATGAGTGATTAAAATGAATTTGAAGAGAGGAAACCAAAAAGTAATTTGGCGGACGGTATCTGAATTTCAAAGAGAAAATCATATTTCTAGAAAACCGGGTTCCTGCCCTTTTATATGACACCTCAATCAGGAAAAATGAGCAAGGAATGACAAAGTTCTGCAAGTTGTTGAAAGAAGTGCTTGCATTTCCATAATTTTATCAGACGAATTCGTTTTCACTGGCTCCTGCCGTAGCAACAAGCAGAATTGACAAAAGACTTAACTCCTTTTAGTTGACAATCAGCCATGATTGAAGTCTTCGTCTACGGTTTCGTTTTTTTCTGGGTCGCACTGTATAGGTGGACATGAATTCATCAATCGTGGTATGATTTTTGTTGCTATTGAAGCCAAAGCAAGATAGATTTATGTTCGCAAAAAAGTAAGGGTTTTTAAAAACTCTGGTGAGAGTAATAACCTGCCGTTATTAACCCAGGATTGAATATTATTCAGTAACAAGTATTATGTTCGGAAGTGAGAATTGTTGGTTTCATTCATCGCGACGTTGTTTATTATGAAAGATACATTCTAAACAAAATATTATCTAAAGAATAAAGCCACGACTTTTCTTGTATAAGAGAATAATTTTACCGTTTTGGCGTGTATTTGGCAAACAACTTGATGTGGTACAAATATAAAGTCGAGCACTTTTTACCTAAAAAAAGATTTTCAATCAACATAATTTTTATCTGAAATATAGGCCTAGTATTCGTAGGATTCTAAATGAATGGTAATTGTATCGTCTGTAATGATTATAACAAATATGATATTTATTTAATTTAAAAATCCTAATTGACTGTCAGGTACGGATTATACACGACATGCATGCAGGGTCGTGTCATAGATCTACCAAATTCCTGCAAATCAATAATAATGATTTGTTTGCATAAATGTGTGTTTGTGTGTGCTCTGCTAAATGACCTCCTTTTGGACACTTGATGATTTATTTTTATTACATATACTCGACAGTTATTGGGAGTTTTATGTTTGTACGAAGTGTTCAAACAAACAAA